GTTTACCTCATGTCAGGAGAATGTCCCAAAGCGCTTGATGCTGCTGGCAAGGCACTCGAGCTGGGGTGAAACGTCCTTTTGGGCTAAGACTATGCGGAATCTCGAGCTTCAGCTCGATTCTGGATTAAGCTTCAGGTTTCTGGGCTCCCAATAATTCTGCGCGGATGGTGATTGTTGCAAAGTGATGGACCTCATTTCCAAAACGATGGGAGTCGAGGAGTAAGTGCGAAGAGATGCCTTTGGAAATATTAAAAGTCTTTGGCTACGAGACGCCACCCAGCGTGAAGGAAGCTATATAAATGCAAGTTGTTGTATTTGTTGTTAACTCCTTCCCCTCAACATACACACAATCAGCCTTCTCCCCCAACCCCCCCACCCACCCACACACACACATGCCACCACCACCAGCTCCTTTGATATTAGATGGCAATGTTGCAGCACCAACTTGGAGAGCCTTGAAAGTCAAATACTTAAAAGAAGCAATTCGATTTGGGAAATCCATTTGTTCAAAAATATTTCATGAAAACACGTTCCAGATGTTCTTATATCATGGGTCCATTATGAGCAAATTTGGGCTATTTTTCTCGCCAATTCCAAACTCTTTTTTCTCTTCTTCCCTGTTAACAGATTACAAGCAGATGTCCCTCTTAAGGGAGATAACCAAAAATGTTCTTCTTCACATGCAACTTGATGGATACATTATTCCATTGCTTGAATGTGTGGGGCGGATCGTGGAGGGGGGAGAGAGAGGTTTATGGTGTTGAACGGCAGACACTGGAAATCACTCATGGACTTTTTGGAGTCTCACCTTCGAGTCAGAAGGTTGTGGGTTCAAGCCCCACATCGGGACTTGGAACCCATATAGTCTAAGGTGACACACCAATGCATTGCTGGGGGTGTGCTGCATTCTTGGAGTGTCATCCTTTGGATGAGACTTCAACTTGAGATCCCAATTGCCTCTCAAGGTGGACATTAAAGATCACACAGCACTACTCGAAAAGAGAAGGGAAATAACTTGCTTTACAGTAACCTGCAAATTGTCACTGTCAGCTGAAACTAGAGCTAACAAATTATAATGTAATACAAATTAATATTTATACATTGGGAGGTCGTCTCCAAGTGCTTCACACTGGAGGATAGGCACCACCCGATCTACTGGTGGGAGCAGAGGGAGTGGAGAGGGGGAAATATAAACAAAAGCACGAGGTAAGTTTTGAGACGTTCCTTGCTTTTGATACAGCGCTATTCACATCATTGAGACATCTTAAAGTGCTTAACAGGATTTTCTGTAAAGTGATGGGACTGTGTGTTTTGTAGGCGAATGCGGCAGCCAATTTGGGTGCAGAAATGTCCCACAATGTACAGCCATAACGTAAATGACTAATTTTATCTCGGGGATATCATGTGAAGCACTTTGAGATGTCTTGATTATGCGATAAGATGCTATATCAATGCAAGGATTATTGTAAGATCTTAAAACCTATCTTATCAACCATGAATTCCTTGTTTCTTCCTCCCACCACAAACATACTCTTCTCAGCTTTTAAATGTGCCCAAGGGCTTACTTTATCCAAATCAGTCCTGTGATCTTATGATTTATAAATACAAGTGCTAAGATCATGAGAAATCCTAGGATAAACCCTGAGACTCCACTCCCAACGTCTGTTCTCATTTCAACCCAGTACAAACCCAAACATATTTGTTCACTTTACTTTTCTCACCCATTTTCTCCTCCCATCCGAAGGTGTATTGAATCCCTTAGCATAGTGGTGAGCTTACTTGCCTCACAAGTGAGATGGCCCGGGTTTGATTCCCAGTGGGATGAAAACTTAGGCTAGTGTCATTACTCCACACACCTGTTTATCTAACATTAAGTCGAAACCTGGTTGTTCGGTCGATTGGTGGATCGCCTACAGGGGGTAATAATGCCTTAAACCAAAGAAATTTGGTCGCTCAATCCATGACTGTTTGTGGGAGACTGCTGTGCGCATTTTGTCCCCCAAAAATACACTGAATCCACTTTACAGGATAGTCTGTGAAGGGCTTTAAAACATCTCAATGATGTAAGGTGCTATATGAAATGCAAGAATTATTATTATTGCTCAACTCTTCACAACTTCAATTGGGGAATACAATAGAATACAAATTTACATTTTTACATCGAAAGGACGTACCAAAGGACATACCAATGATAACAAGGACATCAGATATCCTCAGATGTATTGTCCAAGGCCCATTGTGTCTGTGCCGGCTCTTTGAAAAGAACTATCCAATTCAATCCCACTCCCCCGCTCTCTCTTCCCATAGCTCTGCAAACTTATCCTCCCCAAATAATTATCTACTTTCTTGAAAGTTGTTATCGAATCGGCTTCCACCACACTTTCAGGCAATGCATTCCAGATCCGAACTTCACTGTGTGAAAAAAATTCTCCTCACCTCCCCTCTGTTTCTTTTAACAACTATTTAAATCGGTGTCCTCGGGTTACCAACCCACCTACCACTGGAAATAGTTTCTCCTTGTTCACCCTATCGAATACCCTCATAATTTTGAAAACTTCTATTGAGTCTCCTCTTAACCTTCTCTGCTCCAAGGAGAATAATCCCAGCTTCTCTCGCCTCTCCTGATAACTGATCCCTCATTCCTCGTACCATCCTGGTAAATCTCCTTTGCACCCTCTCCAATGCCTTGACATCCTTCCTAAAGTTTGGTGCCCAGAATAGAACGCAGTCTCTCGCTGAGACCTAACCAATGTTTTATAAAGGTTCATCATAACTTTCTGACTTTTGTATTCTATGCCCCTATTTATAAAGCCTAATACCCTGTATGCTTTTTTAACAGCTTTACCTAACTGTACTGCCACCTTCAAAGATTTACTTATATGAACCCCCAGGTCTCTCTGTTCCTTCGCCCCCTTTAAGATTCTACTATCTATCTTATACTGTCTCTCCTCGTTCTTCCTCCCAAATGCACTACTTTGCATTTCTCCACATTAAACTTCATCTGCCACTTGTCTGCCCATTTTTTCAATTTGTCTATGTCCATTTGAAGTCTGCTACTATCCTTCTCACTGATTACTACTTTTCCTAGCTTAGTATCATCTGCAAACTTGGAAATTGTACTCCCTATACCCAAGTTCAGGTCATTTATATAGATCAAAAACATCAGTGTCCCCAATACTGACCCCTGGGGGACACCATTGCACACTTCCCTCCAGTCAGAAAAATAACTGTTCACCACCACTCTGCTTTCTGTCACCCAGCCAGTCCTGTATCCATGCTGCCACTATCCCTTTAATAATCCTTATTGAAAATCGCTATGAACTGCATCAACTGCACTACCTTCATCCCCACTCCTGGCCTTCCCCTATTCCTATCTTCCTAATTGTTTCACTATTAGTATTGCTGAGGTCACTAACTAGCACAGATTGGCAGGGTTGGGGGAGGCAGTGTGGGGGAATGTGCCAGGATATCCATTCTTTAATTTAATTCTGGACTCCTTTATGGTTCAGACGCAGCAATGATCATTGTAATCTTTGGAGGCTGATGCAAAAAGCAGCCAATAGATACCGATACAAATTTCTGACGAAATTGCTGACATCTGGATTTGGGTTATGCAACAGATCAGCATCGGGTATTGTCCCAATGAAAAAAAGATGTTTGTAAAAATTTCAAGGCGGAAATCATCAGGTTTGTCAAGCGACATGACCCTTAAAGGATTCTATGAGGCCCAAAGGATTGTGCGTGCGTATATATGTGTGTTATGGTGTCAGATGGCAAGCATACCTTTGGATCCCCACCGACCACCATCAGTGTCTGTGTCTTCAGCCACGATGCCCAGAACCTCTGGAACACCCTGCCTCTCTTCCCCACCCACTTACCTATCTTCACCTGAAAACCTACCTCTTCAACACGCCTATGGGCACCATACCCCCTCCCCTCTCCCTTCTCCCTTGCTCAGTGTACAATCATAAAAATAATAATCCTTACATTTGATATAGCGCCTTATCAAGTCTTCGAGACATCTCAAAGCACCTCACAAAATATACTGTAAAGTGAATTTGTGTATTTTGTTGGCGAAACAATTGCACACAGCAGTGACCAAATTATTATTATTTATTTGTGTTTTGAATAGATTATTTCCCCCAGAAGAGTGTTCCAACAATCCACTAACAATTGGGTTCCTACTTACTGGTAGGTAAACAGCGACATGTGGAAAAACGAAACTTGGCCAACATTTCGCCCTGGGAATCAAACCCAGGCCCTCATGCTCACGAAGTGAGTGCTCTAACCACACTACCCGCTAATTGCAGCGCTCAGAGACATTATCCTATGTGAAGGACGCTGAAGCAAGTTGTAGATGTTGGTTTATGAACCTTTACGAATTGGTATAAAAGAACCTCAACCTTTTTGGACTATGTTGTATTAGGTGCTGGGTGGTTACTGCACATCTCGACGACGTGATAAGGTGCTATATCAAATGCAAAGACTATTATTATCATCATTAGTTTTCCCTGGCTGTTGATCCCTTCGAAGTCTACAAAAGCAACAGTTTTGGAAATGTACAAAAAGCACCTAAAAGAGAAAGCAGAGTTACTGCTTTGCGGTTGTCCCTTCGACTACAGTCAAATGGGACTGAGAAGGAAGAGCACCTCACCAACAAAAGGATACAGATACAGGAAAGCTGTGTAAATCTGAGATCTGTGTAAGTTGTACATTATCACTCAAGAGGTGCATATGCCCAACGTTAATTTCCAATTATTTATAAGTTTCACATAACTCATACTTTGCATAAGTCGAATGAAAAGTATGGTCCCAACTGATATGACTTATGTGAGATTTACTGTACTATAGAAACACTGCCAAAGTACTTTCGGTTCTCCAAGATATGAAGAGAGCTGTATAATCGCAAGCTGATGTTGTTGAATCAGAGACATTCGCAAAATCCTGTTGAATTTTAAGACAATGTTTTTCTGGGGCAAAAAGACTTTGAGAAACATGAAGGCTTTCTATCCATTTATGAAACGAAACAAAGGTGACAATTTCTAAACACAGAGGAGTGAATAAACAACGGACATTTTGAAAGATTTCCCAGTGGAAACAAATTATTATGACGCATTATTATCGAAGGACAAAATATGCATATGAACCCTTAATCCCCTTCGTATCTCCTCCTGCTCTCTCCCCCACCACCCAACACACACACACACACACACACTCAATGCGGAATGTGGAAACAACAGCTCTCAGTACTACACACTTTCACTCAGAAAAATGACCTTTTTAAAATTGTGTTGTGACAGGACTCTCTTAAGACTCTAGGATTTATCTCAAATATTACGTTTGATAAAGTATATACTTTTTTAAAAAAAGAGACTGACAAAGAAATAAAATTCTACATCAGCAGTGCAATATATCTCACATCCTCACTGGTCCCATCTCTAGAGCCCGATCCTAGTGGAAAGGACTGGCGGTTCAGTTTTGGTAAAGTGTGGTAAATTTCATGTGGAAGTTCTTTTCCGGAGTCCCCTTGGGTTGCCCCTGTGCCTGTAGTCTTCCCCCGAGCCCCAGTCAGGAATGTCATAGCTTTGGCCTTCCCTCAGGTCCTGCTTGGGAACTGGGAATCCCTCTCCTGTGGCGTGATTCCCGGGTCCAAGCACCTTCTCCTGAAGCTCGGCAATGTCGTTCCTGATGTCTGCCAGCATCAAGAGCAAGAAGTCAAAGGAACCCGGTGGACCCTGAAAGACAAATTTATATTTATACAGTAAACCTCACATAAGTTGTATCAGTTGGGACCATACATTTAATATGACTTCTGCAAAATATGAGTTATATCAAACTTGCATAGAATATAAACTCCAGAATGATACTTGGGCAGATATACGACTTAAATGATTTATATAGATCAGATTTATGTGAGTTTTACTGTATTGCTTTCACATCGGGAGGACATCAGGCTCAACATTTCTGGTTTGGCATCTGAGATGCTGGTGGGAGCTGAGGCGAGTGGAGAGGAGAAAGTTGACCAAACGATACGTGGTCTAAGAGGTAGGTATTGAGACAGACCTTGAATGAGGGTGAGGGAGGGAACAAATTGGAGAGACTCTGAGATGGAAATCATGGCAAAGTTGATGTTGATTTTTCTTTGCCATATCAATGGATTAGATTCTGATTAGACTCCAGCAGTTACCCCAGCACACTCTGGGGTCCTCAAGCCTTGGCTCTTGCCAACCTCTGCCCAATACTTTCTAGGATTAGGTAATCAGGATGCGTCTCTCCAGGGAGAGAGTGTGCATTCCATTCCATAAATCTATCTCTGGAATTTCCATGTGTAGGTGGGCTGCATGGAAATCTCAGCTTGGTTTGGATAATCTTAAGCATGGCGATGGGTTTCCGTATATGGCAGACACCCAGCTGGCCAAAAAAGACCACATTTTCAAACCACTTTCCTTGGAAATTTTTTCACATAGTGGAAAAATAAGCAAGGGATGGAAGGCTGAAGCAATAAACATGATAGAATATTAAAATAGACTGAAATTGCATTTTTACAATGGATACTGGTGATATGAGAGAGAAGACAGCTGGAATTATTCACAAATATTTCAGTGTGTGTGCGTTAGGGTGGGTGGGGTGGGGGGGTGGGCAGGGGCACGAGGGGAAATGGAAACAATCCTGTTAATTAAATAAACAGTGGAATGTTAAGATGTAATTGTCAAGGTCAATGAGGTAATTGGAGGCAGGAGCTCTATTTAAAGAGAACTGGCCTCCGTGCATAGGGTGGGGGATACCAACTGTGTGTGTGTATGTGTGTGTGTGTGCGGGGGGTGGGTTTGTGGGTGTGTGGGGTGGGCGAGAGATATCAACTGTGGGGTTGGGAGAGATAGTAACCGCAGGATTGAGGCAATGGCACGTCAAAGGAGCACTTTACACAGGTTATATGGCATTTGGCTCATGTTACACGTTACATATCACACTTGGCTTTGTGGACTGTTTCGCTTTTTGCTATTATTCTTCTGCTGATGGCCAATTTTCATCTATTGTGCAAATAAAACTCTTGTTTTTAGTTCCCAAAGTGCCTTTGACTGGTCTGAGCTCTGACCACAGGCACCACCACATCTCACACTGCTGATCGAGGTCACCGCAAGTGAAAGGGCAAATAGGTCCTTACAGGTGGTCCTCTTGGTCCAGTAGCCCCCTGCTCTCCCTGGAAAACAAAGTGATGAAAATCAATGGTTTTAGCTTGTTATATAATAATAATAATCCATTTGATATAGTGCCTTTATCACATCTTCTAGACAACAACAACAACAACAACAAAATTACATTTGTATAGCGCCTTTGATGTTGGGAGGACGTCCCAAGGCACTGGGGGGCTTCACAGAATATATTGTAAAGAGAATTAACTTTAGATTTTGTAGGCAAAATGCGGCATCCAATTGCGCACAGCAGTGTCCCACAAACAGTCTTGGATTACGTCAATTACTTTTAAATTTATTTTGAAGAAATTATTACCCCCGGAAAAGCAATCCGTTAATCGACTAACAACTGGATTCCTACTTACTGCTAGGTAAACAGAGGCATGTGGAGTAAGGAAACTTGCCCTATATCTCACCCTGCTGCGAATCAAATCCAGATCCTCTCGCTTACAAGGCGAGTGCTCTAACCACTAACTTTGGGTAAAGCTGCTAGTGTCATAGTGTAGTATCAGGGTATTTTCTGTTCCTTAATGTTGTGACAAATATCATGTTCTGGGTAGTGGAAGTTAGTCATAGGGTTGAGGACCAATAAAACACCATTGAGTTTTTTCTACATTGTTTCTTGATTGTCTGTAAAGATCAAGGAGGGAGGGAGGCAACACGAGTAGGTTATTGCTGAAGTCAGCTGTCTGGTAGTGCGAAGGACGTTGATCCCCTTGTTGTGCAATAACGCACCCATCGTCATATGTATATTCTCATTAATGAAGTTTCATTCAGAGAGGAAACTTGCACGATACAGAGAAGGGACTGATAAAGAGGCCGCCTAATCCCTGACTGTTCAGTGCTTTGGGACGTCCTCTCGACGTGAAAGGCACTTTACAAATGTAATTTTGTATTGTATTGTACACTGAACGCTTTGTCATAACGCAGGTATAATAATAATAATAATCCTTGCATTTGATATAGTCTTATCATGTCTTCGAAACATCTCAAAATGCTTCAACAACAACAACAAGATTACATTTGTATAGCGCCTTTCATGTCGGGAGGACGTCCCAAGGCGCTGGACAGAGTACAGCATTTCAGACCTGAGCTGGGGTCGGGGGGGAAAGGGAGGGAAGGGGAAGGGGAGTGGCCGATGGCATAGTCGAAGAGGAGGGACTTGAAGGAGGCTAAGGAGGGGGCGAGGCGGAGTGATTGGGGGATGGAATTCCAGAGGTTGGCGGCAGAATGGCTGAAGGCTCTCCCACTCGGGGGACGAGGAGCAGGCCAGAGCCAGCTGAGCAGAGAGAACGGGTGAGTTGATAGGGGGTTAGGAGGTCGTAGAGGTAGGGTGGGGCGAGGCCATGGAGGGCTTTGTATGTGAGGACCAGGATCTTGAACTGGATCCTCTGAAGGATAGGGAGCCAGTGGAGTCGGGCGAGAGTGGGGAAGATGGGGTCACGGAGTTTGGTGAGAGAACACGGGCTGCAGAGTTCTGGGTTATTTGCAGCTGTGGAGGGAGGAGTTGGGAAGGCCGACAAGCAGGACATTTGCATAGTCGAGCCTGGAGGTGATGAAGGCATGAACAAGAGTTTCAGTTGCCTGAGGGGTGAGGCAGTGGCGGAGTTGGCGATGTTACGGAGATGAGGGAAGGCAGAGCGGATCATGGCTTGAATGTGGGGGAGAAAAGACATTTGAGGGTCAAACAAGACACCTAGGTTCCCGACTGGCTTCACGGGATATACTGTAAAGTGTAGTGACTGTGTGTTTAGTGGGCGAAACGCGGCAGCAAATTGCGCTCGTTATTGTCCCACAAATAGTAGTGGATTGAGTGACCAAATTATTTTTTACTTATTTTAGAGGAATTATTCCTCCGAATTATAATAGGGGTGAGAACCGTCGCACCTTATCAAACCCTTTTAGAATTTAAAACACCTCTATCAGGTCCCCTCTTAACCGTCTCTTCTCTAGTGGAAACAAATTCTAAATAAATAATGAATGAAAATTAAAAACATACCTTGGCTCCAGCTCTTCCAGATGACCCAGGCGACCCCTACAATAAATGTAACACACAGTGAGAAGTGCAGAATCACTGTGGTATGGAAACATGCATTTATATAGCACCATTCGCATAACGTCTCGGAGGGCTTCACAGGGACAGTAATAATAATAATCAACAACAAATTGCATTTATATAGCGCCCCTCACACAGGGTATCATCCCAAAGCTCTTGACAATGTTGGTGCACAACATCAAGCCTGGGGGAGGGGTAGGTGACCATAGGCACGGTCGAATTGGAAAGTCTTCATGGGTGACCTGAAGTTGGGCAAAGGCACACGGATAGAGGAAGAGTGCCCCAGAGTTTTGGGGCGTAGTGGCTGAAAGCGTGGATTGGAGGGCCCGAGGGACATGCAGAAGGCCGGAGCCTTTCAAAGTGATAACACCTTATCACTTCGTCCAGATGTCTCAAAGCGCTTCACAGAGTATATTACAAGACAATACAAAATTACATTTGTAAGACGCCTTTCACATCGGGAGGATGTCACAACAACAACAACAACAAAACTACATTTATAGAGCGCCTTTCATGTCGGGAGGATGTCCCAAGGCGCTGAACAGTCAGATGTTGGTGGTGTAGGGGTGAGAGAAGGCAGAGAGGTGGGAGGGAGACCAAAGGCACGGTCGAAGGGAAGGGTCTTGAGACCGGCCTTGAAGGATGTGAGGGAGGAAGCAAGGTGAAGGGCGGGTCAGGCGGGAGACATGGAGCAGGCCGGAGCCTGATGAACGGAGGGGGCGGGCAGGTTGGTAGGGAGTAAGCAGGTCAGAGAGTAGGAGGGAGCAAGGCCATGGATGGCCTTAAAGGTGTCCCAAGGCACTGGACAGTCAGGGATTGGATCCGAACATGGTGGGGTGGTTGGGATCAGGGAGGGTGGAGTCCAGAAAGGGTGGGTCAAAGAGGAGGGTCGAGATGTGCCTTGATAGGCAAGGGAGAGAGTGAGGAGAGGGAATGTGGGATAGAGTTCCAAAGGGTGGGGGAGGCTGAAGACCCGACTGCTGATGGTGGGGTGAGTCGAGCAGGGGACATAGAGCAGGCCAGAACCTGCAGAGAGGAGGGAGCTGACTGATTGATAAGGGGTCAGCAGGTCGAGAGATAGGAAGAAGCAAGGCCATGGAGGGCCTTGAAGACGAGGATGAGGATTTTGAACTCTATCGCCTGAAGGATGGGGAGCCAGTGGAGCCGGGCGAGGGTGGAGATGATGGGGTCACAGAGCCTGATGCAGGAGAGGACATGAGCTGCAGAGTTCTAGATGATCTGCAGGAAACACGGAAGAGTTGGGAAGGCCCACAAGCATGGAGTTGGGGTAGTCGAGTCCAGCTGTGATGAATATATGAATAAGGGTTTCGGCGTCCAGAAGTGTGAGGCAGTGGCGGAGCCGGGCAATCTTATGGAGGTGGGGAAAGGCAGAGTGGATCATAGCACGGATGTGGGAGAAAAAGGACAGTTGAGGTTCAAACAAGACGTCAAGATTCCGGATTGGCTCAGTGAGGTGGAGTGTGTATTCCTGGAAGGTGATGCCTGAAGTGTGTAGACGCTGACGGATTCCAATCTAGAGAGCGGTCTTGTTGACATTCAACTGCAGAAAGCAAGCTCTCATCTAGGACTTAATGTCTGACAGACAATCTGTTAGGACAGCAGTGGTCCTGGAGTCGATCGTAGAGGCAGAGAAACATTGTTGGGTATCATCCGCATACATGTAGAAGAAATTGACCCCACATAACCATGTTTTGCCCACAAAATATAGTTATTTCACATTACAGTATAGTTTGTGAAGCACTTTGAGATGTCTCAACAACATGATAAGGGGCTATATCAAATGCAAGGATTATTAGTATCATTATTATTAAAAGTGAACCCTCCTCGGTATTCCGGGTGAAAAATGAGTTGCGCTCTGTGATAATTATCACTGGTGATAATCACGCAGGCTATCATTAGGTTGACCCTCCAGTGCAGTGCATTGCATTGTCAGAGGTACTCTCCTTGGAATGATATGTCAAATCAAGATACTGTCTGCCTGTTCAGCTAGATGCCAAAGATCCTGTGGCGCTGTTCGAAAAGAGAGTTTTGCCCGGTGTCCTGGCTCACAATCCCCCAGATAAAATTAGTCATTCACTTCTCGGCTGTTTGTGGGACATTACTGCGCAGAAATTGGCTGCCTCATACACCTTCTAATACATTTTGCAAATACTGCGAATTGTAATTAATGTGTATATCAGATGCATTTGATGTAGTGCCTATCGCATCAAAGTGCCAGAAATGCTTCACAGCAATTCCTGTAAAGTGTAGTGACTGCGGTCATTTGCCAATTTGCACATAGACAAACATGAAGTGAACAACTGGAGAATTGTTAAATATGGGATCATTAACATCCACCTAAACAACTGAACAGGCATAACATCTCTTCCTAAGGAAACCTGCATTCCTCCAACAACGCAGCACTGATATTGTCTGCAATGTTAGCCCAAATAATAAATAAATGATAATAATTCTTGAGCCAGCCTTATCATGTAATTGAGATGTCTCAAAGCGCTTCACAGGATATACTGTAAAGTGGATTGACTGAATTTTATGGATGAAAAGGGCCAGCCAATTGTGCACAGCAGTGTCCCTGCAAATAGTCATGGACTGATTGACCAAATTTTTTTGGGGAAAGGATTATTATCCCCTCAAAGTCTTGACTCCAATGGGTCTTGAACCCAGAACCTTCTGGGTCTTGAACCCAGAGGCGAGAGCTCTATTGACTGAACGACATTGACAAAGAATTGGGGGTGAGGTGGGGAGGAAACTCACTCAAGTTGGACAGTGAGTGTAATTTCAGGAAAGTTAAGCTGATTTGGAGAACGGATACTGACCACTGGCCCTCGCCTTCCCTTCTTGATGTGAGATATATCAGGTGAAGGGCCTACGGGCCCCATTAACCCTCTGGAACCTGGTTGCCCTGGAGCTCCTGGTGGTCCCCTTGGGCCTGGGTTTCCTTTAGGTCCTGACAGACCTGCAGAGAGTCAGAGAAAACTATTAGTAACTCTCGCTGCGATGTGTAAAATAGATGCCAAACAGAGCATTTCAGCAAGATCATCTCACCACATTCCTCACATTCAAACCAAAGGTCATGTTATTAATAGGAGGCAGTCAGCTGCCAGGAAAAAACAAGATGCAAAACTAATACCTCTCAACAGATGACAGGAATATCCGCCCAGTCAGATGCCACAAAAGTATACAGTCAAATTCACTTTACGGTATATCCTGAAGCGCTTTGAGATGTCTTGAAGACGTGATAAGGCGCTACATCAAATGCAAGGATTATTATTATTATCACTAAATTTATAGGACAGAAGGAAAGTTGGCCCATTATGTCTGTGCAGGCTCTTTTAAGAGCAATCCTTTAGTTTAATTTACCTATCTTTTCTTTATACTACTGACGCTAATTCCTTTTCATTGTTTATCTAGGTCCCTTTTGAAAACTACTATGGGTTCTGCCTTAACCACCACTCCCAGCTGGGCATTACATAACCTTAACAATAGTTCTCCTAACCTCTCCATGTGCTCATTTGCTACTCTCTTAATTTGAATGCTCTAGACATTGGCTCACTGGGCAATGTGGGTTATATGGGCTAACACTTGCTCTCCACCAGTGGTCAGTGTAATGATCGCAGAGCTCCTGATGTATTAGCCAGAGCCTCCCATATTTCCTCTGATATTTCCTATGGGTGTATTTTGTCTGACCAGTTGCCTTGTAGACAAAACAGAAATCAATTTTAGCTCTTCATAATGGATTAAGTTAGGGTTATGACCCAAGAACAACTAACTCTCTGGACTACCCTTGATTTCATTAATAATAATAATAATCCTGGCATTTGGTATAACGCCTTTAACGTCAGGAGGACGTGAAGTGGGGTGACTATGTATTTGTGGGCGAATACGGCAGCCAATTTGTGCACAGCAATCTCCCACAAACAGTCGTGAAGTGAATGACCAATTTTATTTGGGGGATTGTTGGCCAGGACACCGGGAGATATACCCTTCTTATTTTGAATAATGCCATGGGATTTTCAATATCCACCTGAACAGGTAGACAGGACCTCGGTTTGATATCTCATCCGAAGGATGACACCTCCAACAATCTCCTCTGACACCTCTCAGTCTTGTTTGCATACTCTTTATAATAAGAGTTTTGCCCACACAATCCTGCACTTCAGAGTATATCCCGCGGAATGCTTTTAGACATCCTCCTGACTTAAAAGGTGCTATACTAAGTGTAATGATTATTATGATAATAATTCATTATATTATCAATGATTTCCATAATAATAATAATAATCCTTGCCTTATCGCATTGTCACATCGTCAAATGACTCAAAGTGCTTCACAGGGTTTATTGCAAAGTGTAGTGACTGAATATTTGTAGGTGAATGTGGCAGCCAATTTCCCCACAGCAGTGTGCCACAAACAGCCGTGACATGAATGACCAATTTTCTCTGGGGTTTGATGTCCAGAACATTTGGAGTAACTCCCTTCCTTGTGAAATAGGCCACAGGATCTTTAACACCCACCACATAAAAGGGGAGGTGGGGAGAAACACCTTGATTTGAAGGACAATACTTTATACTACTCGTTGCTCCCCTTGCATTGCTCAAGTGTCAGGCTAAAGTGCGAGTCTCAAATCCCAACGTGGGGCTTGAACTCATGACCTTCCGAGCCAAGGGCAAAAATTCTATCAATGCAGCCAAGTTGTTCCTTACCTGGAGGCCCTGGGGGCCCAGGTGATCCTGGAATTCCAGAACTGTAACTGTGGACGCAAGTAACTTCTCTCTATTTGACAGCTGCTTGCCAATATTGCCAACATTGTTGGGCAGTAAAGTGATCTGAGTGAAATGGAATTCAAGGTTACTTCAACATCTTGCAATTGCATAGTACTTTATAATAATAATCCTTGCCTTTGTTATTGTGCCTTATCACATCTTCAAGACAACAATAACTTGCACTTTATATATATGTTCTATATATATATATATATATGACCCCCACTCAGGGTAGCGTCTCAGAGCACTTAACAGTGGTGGAGCCTGACTCTGAGCCGTGGGGGTGGGTGAAGGTGACTGTTAATACTGTTGAAAGAGAAAGTTTTCAGGCAAGACTTGAGAAAGGGGAGAGAGGGTCAAGAGAGAGGTATTGAGGAAGAGTGTTCTAGACTTTCAGGGAGTAGTGGCTGAAAGCACGACCTCTAATGGTGGGGCGGAGGGTGTGAGGGATGAGCAGGAGGCCGGTGCCAGTCAAGCGAAGGCGCTGGGTGGTGGATTGGGGAGTGAGGAGGTCGGAGAGATAGGGAGGTGCTAGGGGGTGAAGGTCACCTCCCTACCATCTGAAAGACGTCTTGAAGTGCTTCACAGAATATACTATAAAATAAACTTTATATGTTGTGGAATAAATAATGGTGCAGAATAATGGTGGCCAACCTATGGCCCACAGGCCAGAAGTGGCTCACTGGGCTGTCAAGAAGTGGCCCGTGGAACATTTCCTTGAGTCCAGGATGTGTCCGTGTTCAATCAATAGTTTGTTTCCACTTATTTGTTGACTGAATATTTCTTGATTTTGTTGATTGAATATTTCTTGATTTACAGCATAGATCAAGAAATATTCAATCGAGAAAATTTATTTTGTTGGCGACCAAAATGATTGGCCACCAGTGACGTAGGGCAACAGGTAGTTGTCAAATCTACTTTACTCTGGTCAAACTCCCAAGCCATAGGTTCGATGTCGCCGAGAACTAGCTTGGAGAAATTCGATCTTATTCGTTTTGAAACAAATTCCTTGCAATTGAACATGTCTTTGTTATTGATCCATCTTTGGAATTAAAGGAAAATAATCCTCTAACCCCCTCCCCCGCGCCCCCACCACCAATGCCTCCTCACCCCCACCCCCACTCGTTCAAGTTCAAGTTTGGAGGAAATGCAACAGGTCACATCACAGATGGATAATACAATTTCTTTTAAATCACTGCATTTAAAAGTCAAATTACGGGCAAATGTCTGTAGACTGGAGCTATTGTGTGGAGCTACATTCCACATTCATGACTTGAGTACAGACTCCATTGTACGTGGGGGAACCACGGTCACAAAGGGCCAAATGGCCCCCTTCTGCGCTTCAACTTCCTGCGCCTTATGACATCTGTGTTAATATGGTAAAATGCTTAGCTGACCTGGATGCAACCCTTTATTGGAAGGAATTCAGGGCCCAACCAGTCTTAGGGCAATGTGTTGTGTTGGCACATATTAGGAGTGGGGAGATGCAAAGTACAATCCTCAGGACATGCAAGAGGATATGTAATAGTTACATACAGTGATACAGCACAGAAATAGGTCATTCGGCTCAACAGTCACAAGAGCAGCTTGGAAGAAGAAAAGCCTTCAACCTATCTGATCTCCTGCCTCCAGAACACCCACCCTATCGTCCTCCCATCACAGCATCAAGCTGCTATTTAAATCAGTCCCAGTGTTGTGGCTTCAACTTCTGACACTCTGTTCCAGTGATTAATTCCCCTCTGGGTAAAGACAACTTCTTGTTTTCCATTGTGACTGTACACCTATGTCCTCATCATCTAAACGTCTCCGAAAGCATCCAAAAGTATTTTCTGGGTTAACTTTCTTAATAATTCTTGCATTTAGTTTAGGACCTAGTCACATCTCTAAGTGCTTAACAGGAGTTACTGCGAAATAGAGTGACTGCGTATTTGTAGGCAAATGTGGCAGCACAGTTGCGCATAGTAATGTCCCACAAACAGCCATGAAACGATGACCAATTTGATTTGGAGCATTGTTAGCAAGTGGTCTGGTCTTAGCTCCTTATTTAAGAGTGTGGTTTCTGTGTTAGCAGCAGCTTCTACACAATAAACAAATTGACCCATCCAGGTGCTCACATTGTGTGAACGACCATCTTCGTAACCAGTTTTTACCTTTTGTTTCAACTGCATTACGGTCTGCTTGATCTGTTGGAAATCTTCGCAGGTTGTGGAGCAAGTGCCAGTTTTCAGGATGTTGTCTGACTTGATGTACTGGCTGGCTAGAATTGGGAAGTCAAATTGTCTCATGTTAATCTCTTTTCCTGATCGTTTGTGTTTAAAAGCCATCAAAAAGAAATTACAGACTAAAAAAGAAATATATGCTGTGTCTCCCTGTGGCGGTTAAAGATCCCGTGGCCTTTATGAAAAGAGAAGGAGTTTCCACCGGTGTCCTGGTGTCAATTCACCTCCCCCAACCCTGGAAAAAAGATTGGTTGTTCACTTCATGGCTGTTTGTGATTAATGGTATAAGACACTGATGTGCCCAAATTGACCGCTCTGTTCACCCATAAAATCCATGGTCACTTCACTTTCCAGTAAATCCTGTGAAGCACTTTGAGATGTCTCAGCAGCATGATGAGGATCTGTATCGAATACAAGGAATATTATTGTTGTAATGGATGAGGGGAAGGTGAACAATTAACACACTGAGAGTGGTGCATTGGCGTATACAGGCGGGATGAAACCTTAGGCAAGTTTCCTTACTCCACACGCCTCTGTTTACCTAGCAATAAGTAGGAACCCAGTGATTAATCAATCGGCGGATCGCTTTCCGGGCTAATAATCCCTCCCAAAAACAAAACAATTGGTCACTCAATCCATGACTGTTTGCGGGGACACTGCTGTGCACAATTGGCTGCTGCATTTCGCCCACAAAGTATACAGTATACAGTATATTCTGTGAAGCACTTTGAGACGTCTGAACGAAGTGATAAAGGTCTATATCAAATGCAAGGATTATTATTATTATGAATGATTCCCCATTCGGGCTCATTAACTACAGCCTGGTTAGTGTCGGAGGATAAGCTGAATGGCCACTTACCATTCTAGCTTCCTGGAACTTCCTGGCTGTAGCTCTGAAAAAGAAATGGATAGTGGTGTCACCCCAGTCCTTAAAACCCAGGGAACAGCTTTCTTAAAGCTTCCTTATATCCTATCGCAACTCACACTGTGTGATCAGTCTTGAGTTTTCAATGGGCAAGACATAAATATCACCCCACAACATGCCTGCTTCAGATTTGTTTTCTGTAATTTCGTCCCTCTCTTGCTCTCTCCTTGAGTTTATCTTCTCTTTAACTTCATCTTTTCCCTTCTAACTGTTTCTCTCTCCACAAATGTATTCCCCTCTACCTCTTTCAAGGGTTATCCCCTTCTCTTTCTACCTCCTTTTTCCTCCATCTCATTCATTCTCTCTCCACCCAAGTTTATTATCTCTCTTTCTCTCCCCTAAGTTTATCCTCTTCTCTCTAACTTTATATTTTCCTCTCTAACTGCTTCTCTCTCTCTCCACAAATTTATTCCTCTATATCTATCTCTCTAGGGTTAACCCCTTCTCTCTCTAGTTGCTTTTCCCTTCATCTCCTTCTCTTTCCTCCCACGTTTATTCACTTATCTCTTTTTCTGCAAGTTCATCCCTTTCTCTCTCCTCAAGTTGATCCCTCTCTCCCCAAGTTTATTTGTTTCTCACTTTCTGATTCCTTCTCACACTCTCTCTCAATGTTTTTGTTCTCTTTCTCTCACCCTCTCTCTACATTATCTCCTCATTCTCCACATTTATCGCCTTGTTCCTCCCTCCCCAAGTATATTGATTCTCTCTCTCTCTCTCCCCTCCCCAGTGTAATTATTTCTCTCTCTATTTCCTTCTCTCTCTCCCCCCATGTTTATTTCCCGCCCTTCTTCCTGGGTGTACTGACTCAAGATGGGATCAGTTTCCACAGATTCCAAACAACATCTGATTCCGAGGAGCTGTTTTGTGTGAACCTAGACAGTGATCCTTATCAAGCTGTTTGATTGTGGGTAGGGAGTTTGGAGATGGGAGAGGGAGGGTGGCTGTGGTGGGGTGGGGGTGGGGGAGTTGGGGTGGGGGAGCAGAAAGCATGTGGAATTACAATTTGGTCTAATTCTATCCTCTCCTGACATAAATCCTTCCCAGGCTTGGAAATCCTGGATTGGGACCAGGAGCAAGAACCCTACATGTGTTTATCTTCTGATGAAGAAGGATTGATATTGGGAAATCAAGGCAGCTCCAGGTTGGGTCAACAAATGTTGAGTAGCAGCATTCCAAAATCAATCATTGTTTGGGAAGGGGTAGAGACAAAATGGTGCCAAATTCTTTAATACAGCACACAAGATATACAGTAACCCTGAGCTTCCAGAGTCAGTCTGAGGGGAGGACATGGCCGCCAGTCACTGCCCACATGGCTTACCTCCCTAAAATACTGGTTGACTTCCAGGTCATCAAGTCACTGATGATGCCACTTCCTGTGCACTTCCCAGGAATAGCACGTAGGAAGTGATGTCAGTAACAATTTGATGACTGGAAGTTGACCATGGTCTGCTACTGTAATAATGATTATCATAATCATTTGCATTTGATACAGTAATGCTGAAACATCTCAAAGAGATTCACAGAGTTTCCCGTATAATGTTGTGACTGTGTATTTGTTAGCGAACAGAGCAGCTAATTTTCACACAAACAAGCATAAAGTGAATGACCAATTTATCTGGGATATTGGCCCAAAATTTTCTTGTGAAAACCTCCCTTCTCCTTCGAACAGCTCCATGGGGTTCTTAACGTCCACTTTATCAAGCAGACAGGATCTTGGCTTATCATCTCATCCGAAGGATGGCACCTCCGACAATGCAATGATCCCCCCAACACCGTATTACAGTGTCAGCCTAGACTATGCAGTCAAACCTAACGTGAGGCTTGAACGCACAACCTCCAAACTTAGAGGTGAGTGTGCTAACTGAGCCAGGCTGACATGTAATAATATAATGATAACATCCTTGCATTTGATATAGCCCCTTATCACGTCGTTGAGACATCTCGAAGCACTTCACAGAATATACGTAAAGTCAATTGACTGTATATTTTGTGTGCACGATATGTACGATCTATTAGAGGCAGAGTCCGCAGATTATTTTTAAGGGGAGTTAAGTAAACACCTCATAAAGAGAAATATCAATGTGGCCCGAGCAGGAGATTAGTTGCGGAGTCTTAGTTTTCATTTAGCGTGAGACTGACTAGCGGGCAGTGAGCAAGCCAAACTGGGGCTTTGCACTTCGCCCTACTGCGGGTTGGAATTTCTTGGATCCTAAACTCTACTGCAGAGAGTTGTCTCATAGAAAATCTAAATGTTTTCAATAGTATTTTCCCATTCAACAATAACAACAAATTACATTTGTGTAGCACCTTATATGTCGGGAGGACATCCCAAGCTGCTGTAAAGTCAAGGATTTAGACCTGAGCTCGGCTTTGCGATCGGGAGGTATGAAGGGCAGCGAGAGTAGGGGTAGAAGGTTAACTGAAGGTGCAGTGGAAGAGGATGGTTTTGAGACAAGCCTTGAAGGAGGCAAGGGAGGGAGCAAAGTAAAGGGAATAGAGTTCCAAAGGGTGGGGGCAGAGAGGCAGAATGTGAATGGTGGGGTAGGCCAAGTGATGGACATGGAGCATGCCAGAGCTGAACGAAGGGAGCAGACAGGTCGGTATGGAGTTAGCAAGTCAAGGAGGTAGGGAGGAACAAGGCCGTGGAGGACTTTCAAAACAAGGAAGAGGACTCTGACCTCAATTCTCTGGGGGCAGGTGGAACCAGTGGAGCTGGGTGAGGATGGGGGCGATAGGGTCATGGATCCTGGTGCGGGAGAGAACAAAACAAAAGCAACAACTTGCCTCACGCGGGGTAGCATCCCGGAGCGCTTAAACACAAGCTGCAGAGTTCTGAATAATCTGTAACTGGTGGAGGGAAGAGTTGGTAAGACTGACAAGCAGGGAGTTAGTGTAATTGAGCCTGGATGTGATCAGTCTCGATTATGCTAACTCATAATCAGAGAATAACCTACCACTTTCACTCTTGCTGCATGTTTTCCCATCCTCCTTGAGGTAATAGCCTTCCTTGCAGACACATTGGTAGCTCCCCACGGTGTTCAAACAGACATGAGAGCATATGGTCCCGTTGCTTTTGGTACATTCATCAATATCTATCGGACAAATGATTAAAAATGTTATAACAATTCCATAATAAAAAATGCATTTATTGCGCCGTCGAGACATTTCAAAGGACCTTTATGGGATTCACCCTAAAGTGTAGTGACTGTGCATTTTATAGGCGAACGACAATTTGGTCGCAGCAACATTCCACAAACAGGCAATCTTATTTCGGGTGATATGTTGATCAAGACTCTGGGAGAGAGAAACTCCCTTCTCTTTTCGAATAGCACCATTCCCACATGAACAGGCAGATGGGGTCTCACTTTCAAGGACGCTCCCAGCACTCCATCAGCCTGGACTCCGTGAGTGCAAAATCCCGACGTGGGGTTTGAACCCACAATCATCTGACTCAATGGTAAGCGTGCTACCAACTGAGTCAGGCTGACACCGAAAGGTGGTATATAAGTAATGATAATAATCCTTGCATTTGATATCCTGTGGAGTCCTGGAGTCCTGTAGCTCAGTGGTTAGAGCACTCGCCTTGCAAGCGAGGCACCTGGGTTCAATTCCAGGCAGGGCAAAACCTTGGGCAAGTTTTCCTTACTCCACACGCCTAATAATAATCCCTCCAAAAACCAAAACAATAATAAATTGGTCATTTTCAATCCATGACTGTTTGTCGGATACTGCTATGCGCAATTGGCTGCCACGTTTCGCCCACAAATATACAGCATATTCTGTGAAGCGCTTTGAGACGTCTAGAGGATGTGAAAAGTACTATATCAAATGCAAGGATTATTATTATTATATTGCGCCTTATCACATCTTTGCGATGTCTCAAAGTGCTTCATAGAATAAACTGTAAAGTGGAGTGATTCTATATTTTTTGGACGAAACACAGCAGCCAATTGCACACAGCATAAGTACGACTTGTTGCCCTGGATATCAGATAGTGCAGTTGTGAGCGTGTTCAGTTCATGTGTGGTTCATGCTCTGTTGTTTACTGATGCACGTGGTTGTGTGTGGGTCGGTGCCAACTGACCGAGACAATATGGCTTGTCCCTGTTCCTGTGCTTCTCCCGGTCGAAATGGTATCCAGTGTAGCAGGTACACAGGACTCTGCCAAAGTTATCCGTGCACTGCTGCTCGCAAGGAGCTCCTGAACACAAATCGTAATCTAGAGCAAGTTTACAATCCAGAGAAAGACAAGGAGTTAGTCCACTGAATGGTCAACACAGAACGTACAGCGCAGAAGATCACAAGATCGGTTTGGAGGAAGAAGGCCCTTCGGACCTTCTGCTCTCATCCCTACAGAACACCCGCCATACTGTCATCTCATCACAGCGTTGAGATATTTTTAAATAAGTCCAATGTCCTGGCCTCGACCACCCTTTCTGGCTACCTTTTCCAGTCATTAATTACCCTCTGGGTAAAAAATGGAGTCTATATCTAGCACCTAACTTGGCAGAGATTTCCATATCCCAATAACTCCGTGTGGAAAGAATTCTCCTAAGCTCACCTTTGGCTCTTCTTGTAACTATGTTACATCTGTGTCTCCCAGGCACTAACTCTGAACATGGAAAATTACGCCTCTTTGGCTTGGTTCCAAGGTATGAAGACTTGGCTCCATTCTCCTGGTATGGATTCAATTTCTCTCAAAGAATTCCCTTTATTTTTGAACGCAAACCAGATTCAAATTCAACTTTCAAGTTGGATTTTAACTTCACATCTACTGAGCTTAATCCATCAATTGACTGGTGGTAAGTGAAGTAATGACGGATTGGACCGTGTAAAAGATTAAAGAAATATGGGGGTTTAAAGGAATCCCGTTAGAAATTCTCCAAGAGGTCAACACCAGAAGTAGGCTACTGGCTTATCATAAGGGAACACCAACACTCCAGGTTCTCCTCCAAGCCACTCATCACCCTGACTTGGACATGTTGCTGCTGGATCAAAATTCTGGTTCTCTGTTACTGAACACCATTGTGGGAGCATCATCTCTGCAAGGATTGCAGCAGTTGAGGGTCAATTATAAGAATTGTAAGAGCTCTGGGACTCTACCTTGTGTGAAGGGTGCTACATAGATGCAAGATGTTGTATAGGAGAAGGGAGGGGTGGGGAGTGGGGGCACAGTGCAGTATAAATACCAGCATGCACTAACTGGTGTGAATGGCCATTTTTTGTGCTGTAATGTTGTTGGTTTAACAAGAAGGAACCGTTACCATCTATACCTTCTCAGGGCAACCAGAGATGGGCAATACATGGATCAAGCTATTGTGCTTATATCAGCGAACGGGCAGGCAAGGGGAGGGGTGGGGGTTGGGAGTGGAACATCCATCCAAAATCTTTCTTTGCAAGTACACAAAGCTTCATCCTGTATTAAACTATTGCTATCTCCCCCAAAGCTCGTTGTGTCACTTGCCTTCAGGAATGCTTCAGAACCTTCTTTTGTGCTGTAAATTTCTATGGTTCTATGGCTTTTATGTAGTTAAAGACAGTTTTAGAATTGGAACTTTCAGCCGCACGATAAACCATGGCATGAATATGGAATGCCATTAATTAAGAAATGGAATAATGTGTTTAGGAATACTATATTGTTCCTTTCCTCTCCTCCCGCCCCATTGCTAAAAGTCAAAAGAAGTCCATCTCTGGAAATTATTTGCCACTTGCTTGCGTTATTTATGCACAGACACAGTTAAAGCTTCATCTTATATCAACCTATAGGTATTTCCTCTTTCCCCAAAGCTCTTTACGTCACTTACCTTCAGGGATGCATTGGCCAAGAACAAATTTATAACCTCGGCAGCATTTTTTCCTGGAAGAGAGAATGGATACTTGTTGTACAAATCAGTACCCCATGTGCAAAGGCAGCTGTAACCTTAAACCTCATAAGATGCCTTGTGCATTGTATGTTCATTCAGAATAGAGAGTGAGAAGCACTCTCACGCCAAGTCAGATGATTCATAGCCCACATCAGGACTTTGATCTCACAAGTCTAGCCTGACACTGTAATACTGGGGAGCACTGCATTATCAAGAGGTGCTGTTCTTCAGATAAGAATCCAGCTGCACTATTCAAAAAGAGAAGGGAGTTTCTCCCAGCGTCCTGGCCAACAATCCCACAGATAAAATAGATCATTAATTTCATGAGGAGATTGCTGGGTGCAAATCAACTGCAGCATCGCCGACAAAATAAACACTGCATGGTAAAATATATTCTGTGAAGCACTTTGAAACGTCCTCCTGGCACGATATCAAATGTAATACAAATTTACAACACAAATTTACATTTATGTAATGCCTTTCATGTCTGGAGGATGTCCCAAGCCACACATCTGCCCATTGAATTTCCTATGGTTCACATAACTCATTCTATGAATAAGTCATATTAAATGTACAGTCACAACTAATACGACTTTTTGAGGTTTACTGTATTAACATTTATATGTGGACGTTTCCCAAGAGCATCAGGGTTTGGTGCAGTCCTGTTATCTGGCTTCAGTTCCTTAAGCACTTATAGTACACAGCAACAGCTCAGAGCACACAGTACATTGGAGAAATTATGTTTTTTATATGAGGAACCACATCTCAAAGCACTTGTAATAATAATAATAATAATAATAATCCTTGCATTTGATATAGCGCTTTTCATGTCTTCTCGACGTCTCAAAGTGCTTCATAGAATATGCTGTAAAGTGAACGTGACTGTATATTTGTGGGCAAAATGCGGCAGCCAATTGCGCACAGCAGTGTCCCACAAACAGTCGTGGATTGAAAATGACCAATTTATTATTGTTTTGTTTTTTGGAGGGATTATTATTAGCCATGCATTTTGTGTGTCCCTCAATTGTTGGAAATTGTATAAAATGTTATCGTGTTCGCTTATTTGCGTTGAAAATTTAAATATAAACTCCAAGCATGGGAAAACTAGATATAACTTCCTTCCAAAAGACACTTAATCCTGAACCTTTGTATTCAAAATTCTTCTCAAGGAATTCTGGCGCTTTTAACCGCTTTTTCTTTTAAAAACACACACACAATGCAATAACAGTATCAGGTTACTTGAGAAACTAATCAATTATGTGCGAGCGCGGAATTGAATATCAAAGGTAAACGGATTGAAATCATGTTTGATAGTTTATTTAAGGACAGTTTTTTTGTCTGTTATATATGCCGCTGCTCACAGACATGACGGGGTTCCTAGGTTTTTCCAGACGGATCCTTGTAACCTCTGCTACTCAGGCTCCGAGACTCAGGATCTGACGGGCTGAGGATTAACAAATGTAAATATCACAGCGAGTAGCTGTTCGTAGCTGTGGGACTTCAAACTATTGAACAGACAGACCGGTCTCAATGTCATTCGGATGAGACGTCAAACTGAGGACCCGTCTGTGCCTGTTCAGGTGGACGTTAAAGATCATTTGAAAAGAGAAGGGAGTTTTGTGGATCCTGACCGACAAATTCACCCCCCCTCCCACTGCCCCAAAATAGAACTGGTCATTAATTTTAAGGCCGCTTGCATGATATTGCTGTGTGCAAATTGGCTGCCGTGTTCACCTACACAATGCAAAGTCACTACACTTCACAGTTAAATCCTCGATAATGCAATAAGGCACAATATCATACGCAAGGATTATTGTGATTACTATTACTGTATGACTTTTACTATATTACTATCACTCTATTACTTTATTACTATTATTATATTACTATTACTTTTTCACTTTGAATCATCGGTCAAAGCATTTTATATAATAATATTCCTTACATTTGATATAGCCACTTATCACGTCTTTGAAATATCTCAAAGCTGTCTTGGAGTTCTGTAGCTCAGTGGTTAGAGCGTCTCGCAAAGCGAGAGATCTGGGTTCGTTCCCCGGCAGGGCAAAATGTTAGTCAAGTTTCCTTACTCCGCACACCTCTGTTTACTTAGCAGTAAGAAGAACCCGGTTATTAGTCGACTGGCGGATCACTTTTCCAGGGGTAATAATTGCTTAAAAAAAATAATAAATTGATCACTCAATCCACAACTATTAGTGGGACACTGCTGTGCGCAATTGGCTGCCATATTTCACGCACAAAATATATAGTCAATTCAATTTACAGTATATTCTGGTGATACTTCATATTTCCTGTGAAATGCTTTGAGGATCCTCCTGATGTGGAATGTAAAGATTGTGTTAAATGTAAAGATTATTATTATTTATTATTAGTTAAACCACACTTGGTATCTTACTATCCATCGTACGACTTGTCTTACTTGGAAACAAGAGAAGGCCTTTAGCCTACCAGCCTGTTATAACTGTTTATTAGATCTTACCAGAGCTTGTAATCAAACTCCCTACCTTTTCTCCATTCCCCTTGTGGAGTCCTGCAGTGTATTGTTTAGAGCATTCGCCTCTCAAGCGAGAGGATCCAGGTTTCCAGGTTAGATTCCTGGGCAAGTTGAAACCTTACCGCACTTCTGTTCACCTGGCAGTAAGTAGGAACCTGGTTGTTAATCGATTGGTGGATCCCTTTCCAGGAATAATAATCCCTTCGCGAAATAAATAAATAATGATAATTTGGTCACTCAATCTACGACTGTTTGTGGAACACTGCTGTGCGCAATTGGCTGCCGTGTTTCACTCACAAAAATATACAGTCAATTCACTTTATGGTATAACCTGTGAAACATTTTGAGATGTCTCAACCACGTGATAAGGTGTGATATCAAATGCAAGGATTATTATTATTTTAATACCCTTACTTCCAAGTATCTCCAAGTATCCCAATTGATTCTGGCTGTGTGTCCTGGGAAAATGGACTCCACATCTTAACATCCCAGAAGTCTTCAAAATCCTCCTCATCTCCTCGTTTGTCCCCTTGCAAACGATCTGAAATCGATTCACTCTGGTCTCCGCTCACCGGCCAGTGGAAATAATTTCTCCCTATGGCCTCTAACAGAACCTCTCAGAACCCCTTTAAAGACGTCTATTAGGTTTCCCCTCAGCTTACTCCATTCCAAAGTAAACAGGCCCAGTTCCTCTAGTCTCTGCTATCTGGTGAGATGTCTCATCCCTGGTATCATCTTAGTACAATGCTAGAGAAAAATGACACTTTCCAAAGTCATATTTTCAAACAAGTTTTGTTTTTTTTGGAGGGTTTTCACCAACTGCTTTTAAAACATTTAAGTGATTGAAAAACATGAGCTCAGAGGCTCAAGGTTCGAGGTCCTGTTAAAGTATTCAGTGATTGTCTTTCTGAAGTTGACTGAGGTTGAATTCAAAATTGGGAGCAATGAACTGGTAACAGCTCAGCGTTCATTGCCCTTCATTTTCCGTCCTTTTTTTAATTTGGTCAAAAAATGACCTATCCCCTTTCATGCCTGGAGGATGTCTCGAAACCCTTAATAATAATAATAATAATAATAATAACCCTTGCATTTAATCACCTTATCACCTCATTGAGACATCTCAAAGCACTTCACAGAATATACTGTCAAGTGAATTGACTGTAAATTTTGTGGGCAAAATGGGGCAGCTAATTGCGCACAGCAATGTCTGCCCATAAACAGTCATAGATTGAATGACTACATTTTTTTTGTGAAAGCATTATTGATTCTGCCTGTGTATCCTGGGAAAATGGACTCCACATCTTAACATCCCACAAGTCTTCAAAATTCTCCTCATCTCCTCGTTTGTCCCCCTCAATCAATCCGCCAAGCGACTAACACTGATTTCCTACTTATTGCGGTAACAGAGGTAAAGAATGTGGAGTAAGGAAACTTGCCTAAGGGAATCGAACCTGATCTTCATAAGATTCACTGCAAACTATAGTGACTGTGTACTTGTAGGCGAATGCGGCAGCCAATTTGCACACAGCAATGTCCTGTAAACAGGCATGAAGTCAGCAATCAATTTTATTTGGGGGATTGTTGGCCAGGACACTGCGAGCAACTCCCTTCTCCTTTCAAACAGTGCTGTGGGGATCTTTAATGACCACCTGAATGGGCAGATGGGACCTCAAGTTTAAAGTCCCAACCAAAGGATGGCACCTTCGAAAATGAACCCATCCCCAGCATTGCACTGGGGTATCAGCCTACAGACAACGTGAGTTTAAAGTCTCAACATGGGGGCTTGAACCCATAACCTTCTGACTCAGGGGCAAGAGCGATACCAACCAATCAACCAAACAATCAACCAACATTAATCTTTCTGTACCCTGAAATACCAATAAATGGCCTTCATTAATCTTTGTGTTGACATCTTTTATGATCCAAATTGCACCTGACAACTCAGTCCAACTGCCTGAGTATGTCCAGGGGCTTTTGAAACCCAATCTATTTGGAAGTGTTACTGCCCGGGGCGCGTATTTGTTTTCATAAACTGTTGCCACTGAACGGCTTTTGGGCTGCTGTGCTTTCTTGCAGGTCACACTGCACAGGCCACTGGCGTCACTACCTTAAACTGACCTTGTGTAACTGAGGGGAGGATTTAGTTTTCGCACACATTACTCCCCAATAAGCTACTAAGTAAACACTGCTGGTGTTATTTCACCCGCAATATACAGACTATTCACTTTTCAGTATATTCTGTGATGCGCTTTGAGACATCCTGAAGACATCATAAGGTGCTATATCAAAGAAGGATTATTATTATTCTCAGAGGTGCTTTCCTCTGGATGAGGCACCTACAATATATACAATCATCGCCTTGGGATGTCCTCCATACGTTCTGTACAAATGTAATTTTTTGTTGTTGTGGTTGTCATTATACTTAACAGTAAATCCTATGAAGTGTGTTAATCCATTTTGATGATTTGGTGAGGTGCTGTA